TGACCTTGGACAATTCATGTAGTCACTCTGAGCCTTGACTTCTTCATTTCCAAAACAGGGATGACAATACCACTTACCACATTATTGGGGCAATAAAACAAGCCAATACACAGAAATGCTCAATAAATAGAAGTTATCTATAAATCATCATGGCAACTGAACTTGAAACTGCCCTTCAAGTTCGATCAGCCTTTGATTAAATGTCTCTGGGAATAAGACATTTGTGCCATCCTAATATGATTTGGCTCTGTGTCCCAACTCAAATCTCATCTCAAATTGTAATCCCTACATGTCAAGGGAGGGTCCTGGTGGGAGGTGATTGGATCATGGGGGCAGTTTCCCCCATGCTGTTCTCATGATAGTGAGTTCTCAGGAGATCTGATAGTTTTATAAGGGGCTCTTCCCTCTTTGCTGTCTCTCTCTCTTTCCTGCCGCCTTGTGAAGAAGTTTCCTGCTTCCCCTTCCTCCTCTGCTATGATTGTAAGTTTCCTAAGGCCTCCCAAACCATGCAGAGTCAATTAAAACATTTTTGTTCATTAATTGCCAGTTTTTAGTACTTCTTTTTGTTTTTCCTTTTCCCTTTTTTTTTTTTCTTTTTTTTTGTTTGTTTTTGGGTACTTCTTTATAGCAGTGTGAAAACTGACTAATACACATCTCAATGGTAACATAGTCAGGGCAGTGAGAGAATGGGGGATTACTTTCCTTCTTCCAAAAAGATTATATATAAGAATGAAGCCAAAAAACAAAAGGCAAAACAAAACAAACTCCAGAATATCAAGTAACTATAGTTGAAGAAGGTGAGTGAACTTTGCGATAAAGCAGACTTACGTTTGCATCCTCTCCCCAGCATACATTACAAGAGTGATCTTAAGCAAACGAAGCTCTCTAAACCTTAATATTCTCATCTGTAACACACGGTTGTTAACACATGGTTGTTATTGTAAGACTATGTAAAGGATAGCTGCGATCATGTATAGTATGCCTTCAGAACAATGCCTAGCCTAGAGTAGGCAATAACTGATAGTTACTATGTATTGTCACAGTTAGGCAGTAGTACAAGTAGAGACAGAAAACAATGCAAAAACACATACAGTATACATGAGTTTGTCAATTCTGGAGACCATAATCATGAATGATGGTATGACATTAAACATCCCTTTTCTACGTGTTCAGCCCAATGAATTTGGCTTCTTAAAGGTGTACCACCAGGTAAGATGATGAAGAATAACAGGGATTTTAAAATGCAGAATTGGCCAGGCGTGGTGGCTCACGCCTATAATCCCAGCACTTTGGGAGGCCGAGGCAGGCAGTTCATGAGGTCAGAAGTCTCTACTAAAAATATATAAATCAGCTGGATGTGGTGGCAAACACCTGTAGTCCCAGCTACTTGGGAGTCTGAGGCAGGAGAATCACTTGAACCTGGGAGGCAGAGGTTGCAGTGAGCCACGATTGTGCCACTGCACTCCAGCATGGCAAAGAGCAAGACTCTGTCTAAAAAAAACACACACACACACACACAAGAAAATAAAAATGCAGATTTGTGGATTGGGGGGAAGAAGGGCACAAAAGATTAAAAAGTAACAGCCTCTGACTATATTATTTTCCCACCACTTCCTGTCCTGGAACTCAAACCCCATCACTGACTAACTACCACCCCAAATGCTACTAAGGCACCATGAAAAGCAAGACTGGGGCTCGCTCAAGGGGGAGGTCAGGTTCATAATTCAGAACTTCATGGGGGAGGAATGGATGCCAGGGCCAGACATCTATCCATCCATTCAAGCACACAGGCACCTGCGAGGTCTGAAACCCACCTGCCTGCATGCTTCTGGACATCAGAATACACAGCAAGCCCACTCTTTCTGTAGGTGCTCTGCGTTGGTGTAGCACAATCATTATTCCAAATATCCAGACCAGTGCTCAGGGCACAGCCATCCATGGTCCTGGGGTAAACTTAAGATCCTTTGCTTTTTTCTAGAAATTTAATTGTTCTCAACAACTTCGTGTGCAAACTGAAATACTTTACTAAGATAAAACAAAGCAAAAGGGTAATAAAATGATCATTAAGACACTTTGTGTTTCCAGTATACATGCTCTGTGCCGCAGGGCACACACTGGAGCTGCTTTTCAACCACAGTGACTTTTTTGGCCCTGTTTTCTCTATAACCTGTCATTCGTTCCCTCTTGCCAGACAACTGCAAACACAGTAAGAGGTCCCAGATTCACTTCTCAGGGTGAATATCCTCTGTGCAAACCTAAGTGGCCTGAGTGGGAAGAAACTACATTCTTGTCCACATTCTAACCAAAATGAAACCAAAGGCCATTCATTAGAAAATCATCCCTCTTCTCCTGATCTCTCTGAAATTAAAGATAACCAAAGTTAGAATTGGAGCATTTGGTGAAAATGAAAAACTGCCTAAATTTCTCTCAAGTGTCCTAGCACTTTCACTTTTGGAAATGAATATTTAGAAAGGTTTAAGAATATCTTTCTTACACATTTCTCTCTCCTTCCTTCCCAAATGACTGCCTCTTCATGTATAAGCCAGAGTGTGTTGAAGGTGCTATTGCCTGAGAACCCAGCATCCTCAAGCACATTCCTAACTCAGTTCTTCATCTCTGGCCACTGATTTTCCCCAGAGGTGGAAAAGGGATGATTACCTAGATTGTCCAGCAATACCGATTAAGAACAATACCTAGGTGGGATGTGTTAGGTCAAGTCAGCCAATAATGACTCAATCCTTTGTAGAAAGACAGAGAGGGCAAATGCTACAAATAGCTCCTGCCTCTAGATGGTGGAAAATAACAGAACAAGACATGAGGGGTGACAAAGGACTGAGGGAATTCCCTTTCCTGGGAACTCTTCAAAGACAAAACAGCCACTAATTTTTTTAATTGTCTAAATATGTCTGTGGCTAGTTTTTATAGGCTGCCTCCTCTCTGAAATGATTGGGAGCCAATCATTCTGAAAAATCAAGATGGGGCATCTATTGGCTGGAGGATAAAAGCAGCAGGAATATACAACCAAATATATAACCAAAAGGCAGTATACACAACCAAAATCGCTTGGCATGTTTGGTGATTTAAGAACAAAAATCCAAACACAAGTGAAGAGAAAGCCAAAGAGAAAAGCAATTTAAGGGAGTATCTCAGGTCTCCAGAGTGACCCCCAAATGCTACATAACACTTCACAGACCAGCAAATGGGCAGTGATGTTGCATGCCAAAGGTGACAGCTAATTTTCCCAGCAGGTCTGGAAAACAACTTTTCCAGGTTCTTCATTATTTTATAGGTTTCAGGCTACCAACTGCCCAGGCCTTTCAGCCTGGTTTCTCCCACCCTACTCTTGTTTTCCCAGCTCCTCCTTATTACCTACTATTGGGATCTCCCTGCTTAAAAGCCATTCTGTCACACAGTGGAGGTTATGGGTTGGGTAATTTGAGCTTCAAAATCAAAGGTATGTGACCATAAAATCTCAGAAGGTAAGAACAGCTACAGGTGCTAAAGGTGAGAAGAGACTCACTAGCAGCCAGGGAACATATTAAGAGTCTGGAACCTGAAGAGGTGCCTTACTGAAGGACAAACTGCTGCGTTCACCAGAGAAGAGACCAAGTTGTGTTTCTCTGGCCAGTCAGGAAACTGCAGACATGGAAGGCTGGGGCAGCTCCTGGAGTGGCTGGCCGGGAAAGTCGTCAGGCTACCGTGACTGTGACTGAGAGAGGAGCACAGTGCAACGCGGCCTGCAGCACTGGTTAACCTGGCCGAGTCCGTCAGGCCAGCGTGTCAGGCAGTCTCTTGAGGAAGGGCAGGGTAAAGAGACAAAGGACACCCTCTGTTCTCACCGCAGAGATAAGGAGGCCGGGGAGGGGTTCCACAGCATGAAACTCTCCCTACTGAGTGGTCAGTATAGGAAAGCCAGCCAGCCAGCCCTCTCCTAAATGATTCCGGGCGGAGTCGCCTCACCGCAGCAGCACTGCCACCGCAAGCAGGTGTGAGCAATTAAACGAACCTGCCTTAGGAATTGCCGTTTGTTCACCTGATTTGGCAAATCTCTTTTTAACCCTCCTCACTTCTGTGAGTGTATCTCACTCACAGAAGACACAAGTTAACTTAAATGGAGTTTGCGCTGTGCGGGAGATTGGGGGAGGGGAGCAGTTGGAGGAGGTAAGGTGGAAACCTTTTTGACCGGAAGATTTTTCTGTTATTTTTCAGACTAAAAGGAAAAAACAAAGTAGGCAGCAAAGAGGACTGCAGGATACTGCTCATTTTTAGACATCCTGGCATTTTAGGTAAAGAGCAACTGGCAGAACTCAGCCAGATTGACAGAAAACGTGTTCACCTGTCAACTGGGGAGGGGAAAAAAACAAAACCCGAAAAAGATTCACTGAGGTTCAGGAGCCAGAATCCGGGCTCCTAAGCTCCGGGTCTCCTCCTAGCCCTCCTCCCCTGCTCGCCCCGCCCCCATGGCCAGGTAGAAACCAGGCAGGTGAACCTGTACACGTGTCAACTCGCGGGGACCCCTGGCCGGCCAGGGGTCCCTCAGGGGACACACCCTCCACCTACCTCAAACATGGGAGAGGCGCCCTTGCTCGGCAACGTGCAGCCCAGGAGCTCGGCGAGAAACTTTGCCATATACGAGCGGTGAGGCAGGGTCCCTCCCGACGCGCCGCTTCTGTCCTATCCCCGCGCCAGAGCCCGAGCGCCGGGATCCTGCCCGCAGTCCGCAAGCCCGCCGGGGCCGTGGCTCGGGGGCTGCCCCGCAGCGGCGGCTGAGGGGCCGGGCGGGGCGGGGAGAGAGCCGCGGCCGCCCGCCCCCGGCGTCCAACGGTGCGAGTGCGAGCAGCCGGGTCCGCAGCCAGAGCCTCCGCGCTGCGGGAACCCAGGCGCCGCCGCCGCCTCGCTAGCCTTTCCCGCTGAATGTCACTATTACCATAGTAAAGAGAAGGGCCCCGCCGAGGGGGTGGCGGGCGGGCCGACCGCGCCGCAGGACTGGCGGCGCGCAAGGGCAAGGGCCGCCGGCGGCCGCAGCGCCGTGGCGCTGGGACCGGCCTGCCCCGCCCCTGGGCAGGGCCACTCGGGCGACTCCGCCAGGCGGGAGCAGACGCCTGAAGCTCCAGGGGAGAGCGGGCGGCCGGGGCAGGGTAGGGTCTGTGGATGGGAGCCGCCGGGCTGACCCACTTCCCCAGTTTTCCCCTCGGCAGCGCTCACGGAGATGGAAAGGCGGCCGCCTCACTCCGCTGACTGACCCGGGAGAGTCGCTGCAGCGGGGAGCAAGCCGCCCGCAGGGGCTCCCGCACCGGCCGGCGCCGCCCCGCCCTTCCTTTGGGAAAGGGAAAAGGCTCCCGAAGCCTCAGAGGAGGAACTCCCCCTCCTGTTCTCACATTATCCTAAGCCTGTAAATCTGGCAGGCCCAGGTAAGCCCCCAAAAGGGAAAGGTGACTGTAGGCCTGGGCCGGATATGCTCCAAGATCACAGCTCCCTCCCTGTCCTTAGCTCCGGCCAGAAAAGCCAAGGACCGGCACAGCCAGGTGACCCAGACAGGTGTGGCCCTGTTTTTCCCTCCAAACTGGGGAGGGAAAAAAAACCCGAAAAAGATTCACTGAAGTTCAGGAGCGAGAATCCCAGCTCCTGAGCTTGTCTCAAACGTGTAAGTCTTGTCTTTTCATTTAAAAAGACATTTTTAGGGCCAGGTCTCTATTATGTATTTATTCTGCACCCCCAGAGCTGTACATCGCAAGCTTTAACGCGCATAAGAATGACATGACCTATAGAGCATGTTTAAAATGAGAGGTTCTGGGCCCCCAACCTATGTTTCTGATCCAGTGATTCTGATTCTGATCCTGGGCCATCTCAGGAGATTCGGATATAGATGGTACCCCAGGCTGTACTTTAAGAAACATGGCCCTACTGTGTAAAAAAAAATGCTGACGTAAACTTATGAGGACTGAGAAAACACTAGATTTGGTGACAGATAAGACCCTAGAGATAGTTGTGTCAAATCACCTGATTTTATTTGCAAGGAAACAGAACTAGAAAAGTTTTTACTACTCCAAGTCATACTGTATCAGTGACACCCAGGGCATGGAGTGGACACTCTATAAATGCCTGTTGGACAGGATGAACAGAAGATGGATGCTGATAAATAGCTGGGTCCCGATTTCATTGATTGTCATTCCAGGATTCTAGCTGGTGCGGCAAATTCACTGTGAATTTAAGGGATAAAAGAGGAAGGAAAGATGTCAAACTAAATTAATTTGAATATGCCATCTCAGTGCTTCTCAAACGTTTTTGGCTATCTGGTTTTATCTTCTGCATTCTACCCTATGAAATATTCAGGCTTATTATGAAACAAAAAGACCTACCCCCCATGAGTAAAACTAATGCTCTAAGTATGTTAATTTATTCTCTGTTTTCCAGAACACTGCCACAACACCAGCTAACCCCCAGCAGCAAAATCAAGAAATGTGGCAGCAAGGTACCTCCAGACTATACTAAAATGGAAAGAGAAGAAAACTAATGTGTAATAAGTACCTATGAATGTCTCAGGCACTGTGTCATGGGCTCTGGGTGCAGACTACCTCCATTTAAATCCCATTTCTGATACTGCTATGGATTGAACATTTTCATTCCCTCCAAAATTCATGTTGAAATGTAATCCCCAATGCAACAGTATTGGAGGTGTGGCCTTTGTGAGTCATGGTGGCTCCACCCTCATGAATGAGATTGGGTGCCCTTATAAAAGGGGTTCATGAAGGGAGTTCACCCCTCTTGTCCCGTCTTCTGCCATGTAAGGATGCAGTGGCATTTTTCCCTTCCAGAGCATACAGCATTCAAGGCACCATCTTGGAAGCAGATAGCAGCCCTCACCAGATGCCAACCTTGATCTTGGACTTCCCAGCCTCTAGAAATGTAAGAAATAAATGTTTGTTTTTAGAAAAGGCTGGGCGCGGTGGCTCACGCCTGTCATCCCGGCACTTTGGGAGGCCGAGGCGGGTGGATAATGAGGTCAAGAGATCGAGACCATCCTGGTCAACATGGTGAAACCCCATCTCTACTAAAAATACAAAAAATTAGCTGGTCACAGTGGTGCATGCCTGTAATCCCAGCTACTCAGGAGGTTGAGGCAGGAGAATTGCCTGAACCCAGGAGGTGGAGGTTGCGGTGAGCCGAGATGGCGCCATTGCACTCCAGCCTGGGTAACAAGAGCGAAACTCTGTCTCAAAAAAAAAAAAGAAATTACTCAGTCTGTGGTATTCTTTTATAGCAGCACAAAATTGTCTAAGATATAATTAATAAATGTGACACTTAGAAAAGTGACTTTGCTTCTCTGCACTTCACTTTTCTCATCTGCAAAATGGGTTGAATAATAAAAGGCACTACCACAAGTGGTTTATATTAGTTTTCTATTGCTGTCATAACAAATCACCACTATTTAGCAGCTTAGGATAATGCCCATTTATTATCTCATAGTTCTGTAGATTAGAAGTCTGTGGGTTCCAGTGGGTTCTGTGCTTAGAGTCTCACAAGGTTAAAGCCAACCAGGCTGGGCTCTTATCTAGAGTCTCCTGGAAGAAGCCACTTCCAAACTCATTCAGGTTGTTGGGAGAATCTAGTTCCTTGCAGCTGTAAGTCTGAGGTCCTTGTTTCCTTGCTGGCTATCACCCAAAAGCCACTCTCTGCTTCTAGAAGCTGCCTGGCCTCCTTATGCAGTCCCCTTCATCTTCAAGAAGAAACCGCATTGAGTCCTTCTCATGCTTCAAATATCTCTGACTTCCTCTTTTGCCAACAGCCAGAGAAAACGTTTACCGTTTAAAGGTCTCATGTGATTCCCTGGATAATTGTTCTATTCTAAAGTCAGCGATTAGTCACCTTAGTTGCATCTTCAAAGTTGCTTTTGCCATGTAATATCACAGAAGTAATTCCAGGGTGAAGATCATGAGAGCTACATAGACTCCTGCTTCCTGCATGATTATCTTGAGGAATAAGTAAAGGTGTATATGTAAAACATTTAGAACAGTGTTTTATTTTGTGATACTGATAATAAGAACTCAATAAAAATTCAATATTTCATTTGTCTACACATGGCATTTGTCTACACATGGCAATTTCATTTGATTGACATAATTCTGTATTATTTTAAAGGGGAGAAACTGAGAACCAATCCAAGACCACACAGAGGGTTAATGGCAGAGCCCAGAATGAAACCTAGAACAGCCATCAATCAAGTCTGTGCTGAGCACTAGGAGATAGGGCAAAGGACAGATGATGTTCATTTGAGAGAGAGGGACTTGAGAAGGGGAGTGCAATAATGAGGAGCACAGGGAATATTTACAAATAGTCACTTGCTGTATATGAATAATCTTTGGTGTGGGTGCAAGGGAGACTGTACTAAAGCCTAACTGAAATTTTTTAAGTCTTTAGGCTGACTCTGGGCACACTGCCTAGGAGTCAGCCCTCCTCTACAAGGAGCAGCTATTAAAAAAAAAAAATCTTTAACTGAACCTGGTGATTTTTACTGAGCAGATGCATTTTCTTGTGGTGACATTCATCTTAAGAGGGTGTACATTACTTGTAATCTAGACTCATTCCTTTGATGGCTTCTTCCTCCCTATGCCCCCTCCTCTGTGATGTCTCACATCTTGTAGAGGAAATAAACATGTATGAAAGGCAGCAACCCACTGACCCTGCCTCAACAGCAAAAGCATTGCCCAGACTTTCTCCAGGGCATGCCCAGGCCTGAATCACTACCATGCCTATTTCTTCCTGTCACTGGTAGAGCAAGGACAGATACCCAGGACAAAAAAAGAAAAGGAAGGAAAGCACACCAAAAAATAACCTTATCATCTACAGTCTTTCCCCATTTAGGACTGTGACTGCAGTATTGTTTGCTAGAAGTGTTGTTCATACTCTTTTACCCAGTATTTCTATTTCTAGAGTTTATCTTAAGAAAATAATCTGAGAATAACTCAAAAATTTTGGCATTTAAAATTGTTTCATGTCTGTAAGGGCAAGTGAGTATCTTTTCTACTGACACAGTAATCACCATGGCTAAAAGACTGGGACTGAACTCAGGCTTCATGGGCTTGAATTCTGGCTCTCCCAATTGCCAGCTGAGTGATCTTGGGCAAGTTACTTCCATTTTCTAAGCTTCCATTTCCTCATCTGGAAAACAGGGATAATAATACCTCATAAGAACTTAATTAGGTAATACTATTATACTCAGTTATTAGAATGATTATATTCATATAATTATTATACTAATACTAATGAGGGACCTAACATAATAGTAATATGTTAACTCTTACTAGGGTGATGATTAATGATATATCCTCAGCTGATGGCCCAAAGCCTGGCATGCAATACTCAATAAAAATTGATTAAATAAATGAATATGTGAACAAACATATGAACAAGGAGACTTGTTACAGCATTATAAAGCTAAAATTTGTAAACCATAAAAACAACAGGTTAGTGGCTTAATAGAGTGTGGTACATATAGTCAAAACTCAGTGTGTTTTAAAAGAATAATAACCTAGAAAATGTCTTTATGTAATGTCAAGAGGGGACAGCATACAATATATGAAGCATATCCTAAATTTGTATATGTGTACTTACACGTATATGTATAAATTAGGGGCAAAATAGAAGGAAATACACCAAAAGGCAATAGTAGTTCTCTGTGAGTGATGAAATTATGGATTATTTTTATTTTCTTCTTTACACATTCTTTAATTTTCTAGATTCTCTGCCATGAACTTGAGTGTAACACCAATTTAAATACTTTTTACAATCTCATAATTAAGAACTTAGACTTTTTTTAAGTAATCAAGTTTAACTTAATTAAGATCTTATCACTTTAATAAATCATTTAGGATGGACCAATTAACACAACTAAATCTACTGCACTGACAGTCTCTTGAAGAAATCTCTAGTGTTTGTGAAATGGCTCTACTAAATATCATCCAAAATTTTATTTTAAAGACACTCACCATTGCTGCTAAGAGCCAACAGTTATCAACAATAGCCTTAATAACTAGAAATGTGAAAGTCTTAAGAGGTAAATATAATCTATGTTTAAAACATACTTATTTTCTCTTCTCATTTAGTTTACAAGAAAATGTTGAAGTTGAAGAATCAACCTTTGGAAACTGTCATTTTCCAGAATGATTAATTCTGGGTAATTTATGCCTGTCAAGTCACAAAGAACACTTTCATTTACCCTACTTCCTTTGTGGTTCTTAAAGGGTGATCCTGTGTTACAGTTATTGTAAACTCTGTGCTTCAGTATGGTCAGGAAATAGAGCAGTCTGATTAACCAACTATTCTGACCAATTACTGTCTCTGCAACATATTAATTACTACTTTTCAAAAAATCAGGCTGTCTTAAATTGCAATTAACATTGAAAGTCTACTGAAGGTTTCATAATTATTTGATGATTCAGAAGGCACCTCAGTGTTTCTCAGGGTGTCAGGTTCACCAGCATAACAATCATTTATCCTAGTAGGATGGATGAGGAGAGACGCTGGTTAATAGGAATTTTCAGTTGAGAGAAATGCAAGCAAGCCAGGTTTTACTATGTTTACAAGGTTGAATGAATGTCTATTGAGCTCTTTAAGCACCTTCTGAGAAAGACACTCTATTTGTGTGAGATGTTATAATTATTATTCTACAGAAATTCAATGGTAACATTCTATTTTACAACAAAGAAAATTAGATTACAAGTTATCCTACAACTCTCCCTCCTCCCAGCTAAGATCACACACCGTATAGAGTTACAATGGTGCCAATTAAACAGCTTTTCATGCACTGTATGTTGCTTTGGCTTTTGATGATCTGAATGGATTGCATACCAAATAGCAGCTACTAGCAGCAATCAAAACAATTTGGGGGGAAATAGTTTTGTCTTCTGTGTTCACATAATGCTATTGATTTGAATTTAATATTTGCTTCATTTCTTTCTTGGTACAGTAAGCAAGCATGTGCTGTCTGTCTGGGCCCCCATTCTGGAGTGGCAAAGCCTGTGTATACCAGGCATTTTCCATCACTAGTTGTTAGAAGCCAATATCCATTCAAAAGAGTCTTTCATCCCATCCTCACTACATATACATATTCTCTCTCTCTCTCTCCCCCCCCCCCGCCCCGTCTCTCTCAAATCCCAGTTTACAATTAAAGAATCAGAGGCACAGAGAGGTTACGGTTTCTGCCCAAGTTTACATGGCTATTATATTGGTAGAGCTGGGCCAGATTCTAAATCTCCTGATAGATAGCACATACTGTTTCCATTGAGTCATTGCCCCAACACAATGTTGGACTGAGACTTTGACTGAAAAATGAACTTTTCTCTGAGCAAGGTGAAAAAAAAAGAAGAAGGAAGGGAATGACAGATGAAGGAAGGGAGAACTCAGCATCATGGATTTGGGGTACCACTCCCACATCACAGCCAAGTTTACTCCTCTTATATAACAATTTGAGGTCCAGGCACAGTGAGCCTACGATTCCTTATTTGAAACACTATAATGGGACTCCCTGGAAGAATCTGTGCACTATATCTTGAAACTGATGACCAGAGATTCTTTAATGAGCAAACAGATACACATAACCTTCCAACCCATGCCCTGGCTGTCCTGGATGGTAAGGACACATTCTCTAACATGGGAAAGATTCAAGATTCAGGTCACTCTAATCAGCTAATGGTCAGCACCAACGGAGGTTAGGCTGTTTAAGGACTTAAGCCATTCAATGTGATGCCAGTTCCCTCCTAATCCAGCCCTAAAGGGAACTTGTATTATGACTCACAGGAGAGGCACAGCCTGGAGAAAATTGAAAACTTACAATAGTACAGCTGTGATAATAAACTACAAGAATAAGCCACCCCTCTCCTCAGTATGGGATTTGATGTAAGAGTCATTGTGCTGTGGCAAAGGACCCGGTTCACCATGGTGATAATGGGAGTGCCTGGGCCAACACTAATGACAATGAGGAGACTGGTACTGTGTGACAACCACAAAACCCACAATGGCATCAAGGCTATGCCACCCCTTAGGACCCACAGCTCAAGAGTGGAGAGCCAGTGTTCACTTGAGCGGGAAGTGAAGCATCAGTCTGGAGCCCCTGGAGCCCAGTAGGCAGCAGTAAGTAGGATCATAGCTAGATAGCAGGTAAGGAAGCATCTGAGCCAGGACTGTGCACTGCCAAGTCAGTAATGGTGGCTGCAGAGATCAAAGAGCATAAAGGTCACAGGCAATGGAACAGAGAGAGGGAGCCAGCTGTTACACAGCAGAGGTGAAGGAGGTATTGTGTTGAACAGTGAGCCAGCCTGGGTCCTCTATGGGAAACAGAGCCAGAAACCTAAAGGTCAAAAAAATCACCCAAAAGGGACTTGAGGCAAGTATCATTTTTATTTGCATTTCATTGCTTCCACCCCTTCTTGGACTGGTCCATCACCTAATTGGTGTGGCCTGTGTCAGTGGAAGTCCACAAGAGAGACAACTGGGACAAGTGCTGCACAGACTCTTGCCTCTGGCCAGATCCACCCCATTCCCTAAACTTTGGCTCAGTTCTCCATATCTGCCAAGGTCCAGATCTGCTCTGTGTTTGATACTTGGTTAAAAAGTTCTAGACAAGGTCACCCCTTTGTCACCATTGATAGAGGGCTCTTGCAGTCTTACAATCAATATAGGTCAAAAATGACTGGAGACAGACCAAATCTAAACACCTGAAGGTATTGGGGAGTAAGCAAGGTTAATCCAGCACCAGCCTGAAAAGGAGAGACAGTTTCCATCCAATCACATACCTCCATGAGTTCTATAGCAGCCACATACTTAAACCAAAGCTTTTTCTTTTATGCCATTTCTATTTTCTTGTTCTTCAGAACCTCTCAATTCTTCATGGACAGAGGTGTGTTTCAGTCATCTTCCAGAGCTGAACAGAACAAGTCATGATCTGGAATCAACAGGTCCATTTTTCTCCATGTTTCATTTCTGTAGTATAATAACAGTAACAATAGCCAGCATGTTACTATTTGGGAGGCCGTGTGCTAAGCCCTTTACATATATTATTATGCATTATTACATGTGATC